GTGGAAATCCCTCAACTCACCCACTTCATTTCTGATACTCTGGGGAAAACATCTACAAGCATGTAATTCAAAAACCGGAAGTCCAGGGAGGGTGCTGAAAAGGGACTTTTCCAGCACAGAGTTGGGAGTTTTGATGCCAAGCCTTTAAAAAGAAAAGAAACCCCTGAGGAGCCCACCATCAATCCTGTCTATCTGAGGCTGCGTTGTCAGAAGCAGGGCCCAGGCCACCTGCAAGTGAGGCCCCTCTGCTCTATTGCTGTGTGACCTTCAAGAATCATTTAACCTCTCTGAGGTTCTCTGGTAAAACAGTGCCATTAAGATCCATCCAGCAGAGTCTGTGTGAGGAATAAGTGAGATAATGGGGGTGAAAAGCTGCAAAACCCCTTAACGCTTATTAGAGGGTTGAGACCCTGTGCCCCAGGCTGGGTGGGTCCGGGGAACTCGAGGTGGGGGGCAGACTCCCCAGCCTCGGGCCCAGTGAGAAGGTAGAGGAGGGGTTAGGCTGACACATCACCTCTTCCCTTGCCAGCCTCCGGGAGAGGGACAGTGGCAGCTCCAGTGGGTACCAGGTCCAGCCACAGCAACCCAAAGGTCATGTGTATCCTGGAAAAATGAGGCAAAACTCATTCGCCCTCCCAGGCTCTTGACCTCCAAGCCTCAGACCTGTTCTACATGTTGAACCTCACCCCACGGGAACTAGGACTGCCCCTGAACTCATGTGGGAACCACCACCGCTGTCACCATGCACTCCTCGGGGTTTTCACAGGTTACCGGGAATCCTTACAGCAGCCCATTTCACTGACCAGAAAACAGCTCAGATGTAGGAAGTAACTGGCCCAAGAGAACTCCCTGAGAAGCAATGCCAGGATTACACTGAATCCTGAAGGTCTTCCTGAATCCAAAGGCCCAGTTCTTTTCACCCAGTAATTCACACGAAGCTACTGACATCTGCTCAGCACCCCCATGGTGAGCTTTGCCTCCACATCACTGTGCTCTAGTCCTGCAATGCCCCTGACTGTCCACTGGCAAATTCCTACACATCCCTCACGTCTCCACCTCCTCAGTGCCTCCCCCAGACTCCAGGGCAGAGAGCGTTTATCAGCCGCAGCCCCATTTATCCGATGACAATAATTGTTGGGCTGAGCCCCTGGGAAGGAATGATTAGTTTCCCTGCCCAGCTCTCCAGCTGGACTGAGCAACCAGCCAGGCACATACAACATTCTCAGCAGAGGTCTGTGGGCAAGAGGGACACACTGCTTCCTCCTCAAGCCCCTCCCAGCCTCTGGCCCCGCCCCCTCCCTTTTGCACCTTAACTAGCCCCACAGAGATCTGTCAGATCATCAGGCAAACCTAGAGGGTCATAAAGAAGTCAATAAGCGAGTCTGGAGTCAGAGACCAGAGCAGGCCCATCGATTTCTGCATATCTGGAGCCTCAGATGCCCTTTGGAGCTCCACGTCCCCAGCAGCCGCTGCTCAACAAGCCACAGGTTTAAGGGCAGGGTGGGTGGAGAAGGGAAGGCAAAGCTCCTGGCCCACGAATTCTAAGTAAATTTAGAACACAGAGGGGAGGGAAATGGTCAGCGCTGGCCCTGACCAGGAGGGCTCAGGGCTGGACTAAAGGGCTTGGAGAAACGTGGGCCCATATGGTAGACACACAGCCTCTCGGTCCCAGGGAGGTCCAGGCAGCTGCTTTAACAACAACTAACATTTGTCAAGCCCTAAGAGCCAGGCAGTGGCACACCCAGAGTGGGAAAGTGAGAGCCGAATCCTCTGGGTGCAGACAAATAGGGGAGAGTTGTCCATAGAGAATTTTAAAACCATGATAAGACACACCAAAAATCAGTCTGCTGTTTATTATCACCGTGTGCCAACACTTTTAAACAATATCAGTGATATTGGTCTAAGTTCTAACTCATGCACCTCCTGTTGAGAGTTAATAATATAGGGACTTCCCTGGTGGCGCAGTGGTTAAGAATCCATCTGCCGATGCAGGGGACACGGGTTCAAGCCCTGGTCCAGGAAGATCCCACATACCGCAGAGCAACTAAGCCCGTGTGCCACAACTACTGAGACTGCGCTCTAGAGCCTCCGAGCCACAACTACTGAAGTCCGCATGCCGCAACTACTGAGCCCATGTGCCACAACTACTGAAGCCCGCACACCTAGAGCCCGTGCTCTGCAACAAGAGAAGCCACCGCAATGAGAAGCCCGCGCACCGCAGCAAAGAGTAGCCCCCACTCAACGCAATTAGAGAAAGCCACGCGCAGCAACAAAGACCCAACGCAGCCATAAATAAATAAGTAAATAAATTTATTTTAAAAAATATATATATATGTGAGCTTTAAATTAGCACACTTTCATTTCTTATTCTTTCAGTCTTCTACATGGAAGTTTAATCAGAGAACACCCAGCTATGCAGTCAACCCCCAACATACACAGACTCAGCTACATGTGTCTGTTCCAACAGTAAGTTCTGAATGGCTCGGAATGGTTCAAGTTCACTTTCAGCACAGTTTGGGCCACCAACCCCTGTGATCCTACATTTTCCTGTGTTTAAACAGAAGACAAGAGTCTGCTCTCCCAGTGCCAGAAGAAAAGTGTTTGAAAGAGAAGTGTTTGAAAGTCTGGATCAACTTCACCAAGAACTAGACTCTCATTCTAAAGCAATGGATTAAATAAATGTCAAAGTTTACCATCATTCGGCCATTTTCTCTGATTTTTGCCAAAGAAGAAAAACTGGGGAGAATTTTGCCAAATAAGATAAAAACTTACAATGAATTTTCTGGTGAATATGTTTCAGTGAAAATGTTTTAAATGTGGATATATTTAAAAGCCACTAGAATGAGGACTTCCCTGCTGGTCCAGGGTTAAGACTCCATGCTCCCAATGCAGGGGGACCGGGTTAGACCCCTGGTCAGGGAACTAGATCCCGCACGTGGCAACTAAGACCCGGCATAGCCAAATAAATAAATAAATGTTTTAAAAACTAATAATAAAAAATCAAAATAAAAACAAAGCCACTAGAATGGATAAACAACAAACGTCCTACTGTATAGCACAGGGAACTATATTCAATATCCTGTGATCAACTATAATGGAAAAGAATATGAAAAAGAATGTATATATGTGTATAACTGAATCACTGTGCTGTACAGCAGAAATTCACACATTGTAGTCAACTATACTCCAATAAAATAAATTTAAAAAAAAATCAGGAATCCCTGGTGGTCCAGGGATTGGGACTCCACACTCGCACTGCCGAGGACCCAGTCCAATCCCTGGTCTGGGAACTAAGATCCCATAAGCCATGTGGTGTGGCCAAAAAAAAAAGAGAGAGAGCGATATCTAGAGATCAGCAAAAATAAATAAAACATAGAAGCCACTAGAATTAATTTTTTTAAGACATAGGCAGCGTTGCAATTTCTCCAATTTATTATGAAATGGGATTTTTATGAATTTCTGACAAACTTATCCTAATGTTTAAGGTTTTTCCAATTTGTATATCTGTTGTTTCATATGAGAGAAGCTTTTGAAATTAAAATTAATAAAAAGTGTCTTCTCGACATATACACACTACTATATATAAAATAGATAACTAATAAGGACCTACTGTGTAGCACAGGGAACTCTACTCAATACTCTGTAATGACCTATATGGGAAAAGAATCTAAACAGTGGATATATGTATATGTATAACTGATTCACTTTGCTGTACAGCAAAAAGTAACACAACATTGTGAATCAACTATACTTCAATAAAAAAAATTTTTAATAAATAAACTTAAAAAGTGTTCTTCAACTGTGAATGAAGATAGATGGGCAAATCTAGCTCTACTGAGTGTTGAACATGAATATACAAAGAAGATCAATTTTGTCAAAGCCAAGGACAACTTTTCAGAAACTAAAGTTCCAAAACAGAAACTGTAATGGCATTATTATTCACTACTGTGACCAACCTATATGTAAGAATACGTTTTCTTCAAAAATACACTAATGCAATTAAAAGCTATTAACCCATTACTTCTATTTTTCTCTATAACACCTACTTTATTTTTCAGTTTTTATATTTTCACTGGCATGATTTCATATACAAAGCTCAACAGAAGAAACTTGACTGTGTTTCTTTTCTGGCCATTATTACTATTCATTTCATGATTATTACTGAAAATAATGTTGCTAGATAAAGGAGAGGATGTTTTCAAATGACCACTCCAGACATCAAATATTCCAGGTACACCCTAATACCAGGCACTGTGCTAAGCCCTTTACATGGATTAAATCATAATCATAATAACAATGAATTACAGTTGAGCACATAATACGTGTGTGAAGCACTGTTCTGAGCACTTCATAAGTATTAAGTCGTATAATCCTCACTCTGGGGAAGAGAGTTGATTTGAAACTTGGTCAAAGTGCCACAGCTAGGTGCTCAGCAGGAACACGGTCCCGGGGCGAGTCTACCTCAAAAGCCGGGCTCAGAACCTCTCTGGAGCAGGTCCAGCTAGGCTGAAAGGAAGCATTTGCTAAGCACCTTTATGATTTCTGAACCATAGGAAAAGTGAGAGTTGGGAACTTGCTGGCAGGGCTGGTCATGAGGTGCATCAGCTGAGGCCGGAAGAATCACCTGTTGTCAGACCCAGGCTCGGGGGGCAGCAGGTGCAGCCCCAGACACTCAGCCCCAGGAGCCCACCCAGGTGTTCTGGTCTGACTCGGGAAGGCAGCACAGGACCTTGGCGGGGCAAATCTCTCCTTGCTGCCTCCCCGCTCCTGGGGGCCTGTTTCAGGCAGGGCGGCCTCCCAACCCGCCCACGCAGGTACTCACACTGAGACAACTCCAACGGATACCCACCGACGCGCATCTCACACCTGATGCCCACCGGCCAGTGGGGCATCCACATCTGGAGGCCACATCCTCAAGGACCCTCTCTCTCCTAAGTGATGACTCAGACCCACCGAAACACGGCCCCCACTCCCAGCCCACTCGCCCCCCCTCAACTTACCACGGGCGCGCGCATCTCCTTCGGTAATGGAGGCCCTCAATTTCACGCTGGAGTTGGCTTTATCAGCTGAGTAAACGCCTGAGGCAGCGGGAGAGCAGGGATTCATTGTCAGTAGCAGGAAACAGAGTCCCCAAGACCCCAGGGGACTGTGGCTTCTGGCGGGGGAGACCGTGCCCGGTTGGTCTCTAACCCCTCCGAGAACAACGGGCTCACTCCCTGCGAATTCCTCGCCGGCCCCCTCCCTGCCCCTGCACTTGGCCGTGAACGGATGAATCCCTTGCAGGGGCCAGGGAGGTACACCTGATACCGGAGAGCCGGGCGGCGCAGCGGCGGGGAGCGCGAGCCGTGTCACCTACCAGGGCGCGCTGCGCCCCCAGAGAGTCAGCGGGGCCGCCCTCGCGCCGGGCCCTCCGTCCCCGGCCGCTGCCCTCAGCGGCTCCCTAACTTGTTTACTCCCGCCTCACCCAAGCTCTCCATCCCCCACCACAGCCTGTAACACCTGAGAGCCCCCGCAAGCGTCTCACCCTTCCTCAAGTTCCGGGAAGTACCGCTCCCCCCACCTCGAGGACTTGGAATGCAGCGCGGCCTCCACTGAAAAGGGAACCGGCTAAATGGCCGCAGAGTCCAGGCCAGCGTGAGGTCAACTGGCCCCTCCCCGTGAGACTGACTAATTAGAGCCTCGCAGAGCTCCCTGCCCCGGCGACAGTGACAGCCTGCTCCAGCCTCTGGGGCAGACATACCAGACATACCAGGACGCTCCCCGCTCACCCCGAAGCCTCTCAGCACACCCTCCCCTGCGCGGAGGCGCCTCCAGAACCCAGCGCAGGGCCACCGCCTCCTCACCTCGGCTACGCACGCGCTGCGGCCCGCTCAACTTAAGATCTTGTATACACATCACACTGGAGTGTCATCAATCTGCTCTTTTCCTCCACTCCAGTGGGCTTATACTGTAGTTTAAAACTACAATAGGCCCCCGTTATCCGCGGTTTCTTTTTCTGCAGTCCGCTGGGTAACAAACAAGGAGACAACACTGTGGATAAGCAGGTACTATCTTAACGGCTGCGTACTTCCTACGGTTTCAGACATCTGCTGGGGGCCTTGGAACGTATGCCCCTAGGAAAAGGGGGGACTACTGTATATTAAGCTTTAAAGCCATTTAAAGGCGAGGGCATACCAGAGAGAAAGCACTTTTAACTATTGGGTCTTAAGCCATTAGATATCCCCAAAACCTGGCACCCACCTGGTACACAGCAGGTATTCCATGAATGAATGAATGGATCAATGAATCAATGAGTGAACGAGTGACCAAAGACAGGCCCTTCCTGTGCAGTGGTCTGTGACTCCTAAAGGGTAGAAGCAGCTCCTCTTCATCTCTATTTTCCTGCTCCGTCCCGCCGGCACTGAGCTTGGAATCAGGACGCGTGGGCCAAATTCTGTCCCTGGCTACCTACAGGGTCCAGGGCACCCTTCCCTCTCTCAGCCTGTTTGTTCATCTGCCAGTGGAGTGGTGACGATATTGTACAATATATAAGATAATATAGGGTTTCCCTGGTGGCGCAGTGGTTGAGAATCTGCCTGCCAATGCAGGGGACACGGGTTCGAGCCCTGGTCTGGGAAGATCCCACATGCCACGGAGCAACTGGGCCCGTGAGCCACAAATACTGAGCTCTGTGCGTCTGGAGCCTGTGCCCCGCAGCAAGAGAGGCCGCGACAGTGAGAGGCCCGCGCACCGCGATGAAGAGTGGCCCCCGCTCGCCACAACTAGAGAAAGCCCTCGCACAGAAACGAAGACCCAACACAGCCAAAAATAAATAAATGAATAAGTAAATTTATAAAAAAAAAAAAAAGATAATATAAAAAAATACATTCCCCAAAGGGAAAGCAGCAGATGAAATGAAGCTTATAAAGTGGGAGCCCGATGTCTGGCACGGGGCAAGTTCTTACTCGGGACCCGTTGGCTGTTGTTAACAGCAAGAAGGAACGTGCTCATCAACATCACGTTCCTCACCAGCTTCCCGGCAAGAGGCGCTGAAAATAAACACCAGAGCTTTATGTGTATTACTACTCACTCAACAAGCTGTTATGTGTATGGAGCAAGAGACTACCTGGAAGGCAGTCAAACCTGGGATGGAAAGGTTCAGCTTTGAGGAAACCACAGATTCTGCCTCTTCTTACTCTCTGCTTTCAGTATTGCCCAGATGTCACTTCCTTTACTTTCTTATTCTTCCTTCCTTCCTTCCTCCCCCTTTTTTTTTTTTTTTTTTTCCTGTTGCTCTGCCAGGAAAAACAAAATAAAAAGAACACTGAGGGGCGGGGATGTCAAGGAAGTGATTTTGACCTTTCACACAGCTCTCAAAAGTGGAGCTGTGTAAGAAAACCCCCAAGAGAAGATACCATGTGATGCCACCACCATCCCCAGCAAGATAGTCTGCCCTTAAGCCCCATTCCAAGTCCAAAACAACGATTTGGGTGGAGAGCCAAGATCAAAACAGCCAGGATCAAACTGCTATCTGCCTACGAAGCCTCCAGTCTTTTCTGCAACCAGCTGTGTAGCCCCGTTACTCTTCTTGTGACAGGTGGAAAATATTACTTTTTGATTATTTGCAATCTCTCCATTCTCTGCCTTCTGATGGTTCTCCTCCTCCATGAGATCCACTGTCGTGCTGCCTCTGAGGAAGAAGTAACTGAGGAAGCGGGAGGAAGCGGCACAAGGCTAAATGCCGAGCAGGCCTAAGAGACCCTGTGGGATCCTGAGCAGGTGGGGGGTGGGTACGAGTATCAAGGCCAGGCCAAGAGGAAAGGGAGGGGGTAGGAAGAGTGGGCAGCAAACCGCATCTAAGGGAGCAGAATCCACAGCGGGAGCATTTCACGATAACATGAGGGCTCTGACGCTTAACAGCAGCTCAAACCTGGAGCACCCCTCAGGGGAAAGGTGCTCCGTCGGCCAAGCGAATGCAGGCTTTTTACGTGTATCCAGGCCACTCTGGGCAGGCTTTGTGAATATACCAATTTTGACAGTTCGTCCTGGCTGGAAAAATCAGGCTTTTGTGAAAGGAAAGTGAAGTATAACTTCCTTGTGAATTGCCTATCTCTGCAACCCCTCAAACCCTACTGAAGAGGTGAGAATAAACCCCTCGAGAGGCCCTGAGGAGCTTCCACTGCATAAATGCGCATCACCACGTCTATTTCCCCTTAAAAGCACATTCCCGAGATGTTGCAGGCTCTCATTCCACTAGCTTGTGAAATGGCCAGTCTGGGGAACTGAAAACTGCAGTGGACATTCGTTTTTGTCCAGCAGTCTCTCATCTGGTGACTCCATGTAGTTCTGGTGGAGCCGCCAATCACAGTACCCCCATCACCCCGAGTAGGGACACATGTGACCTACATATGGCTGGCTATCATGCCCCAGCCCTCAGGTTAGGCAGTGGCCCTGGAAGGAGCATATGACCCAAGCCAGAGACCAGTCAGAATCTTTCTCTAGGATGGAGGTGTGTGTGTGTGTGTGTGTATATATATATATATATATATATACATAAATACACATTTTTGAATAGGCAGTGGGTCAAAAAGCCTCTTTCCTCTGGGGACTTAAAAGAGATGATATAAGCCTGGAGCCATGTGTTCCTGCCCTCCCCGGCAGCATGGAGATCTATCTGCAAGAGCAAATAATGCAGCCACTGCATACAGGAGATAATAGTCCTGTTGACATTTGAGTTCTTCCAGGGCCTCATGCTAGCTTAACTTCTAGACAGCCAATTATAAGAAACTTTTTCATAGTTACAACTCTATTTTTTTAGTTATTAAGCTAGTTAGAGTTGGACTTATCTTTGGCAAACTGTTTACGGTCATCAAAGGCAACAATGCCAATGCACCAAAGACAAGCCACAGTTTGCTTGACGTCTCCCCCCCCACGACCACTTTTCCCACCCTGGTCCTTCCTTCCAGCCAGCCTACGCTGATGGAGGAATCATCACTCCCCATACTCTTCGTATCTCATCTACTTGTGAGTTTGCCCCTTCCCTACTAAACTGAGATGAACTCAGTGCAACACCCAGCCTCGTACGATCAGGGATGGATGGATGGATGGAGGGATGGAGGCTACTGACCCCACCCAGTGTATGTTTCAAACTAGGAAATAAATCTTTTTATTGTAGGGCTAAATTGGGTATGTAAAGTGATTAGTCAATATTTGAGAAGTTCAAATCAACTTCCCCACTGCCTCCAAGGTCGTCAGTGAAAGGGAAAGCTTTCAGTAGAGCTTTCTTTACCTCACCCCACTCCCAACAAGGAACCATTAACCAGTTAGCTCCATTTTACCCAATACCTCCAACAGCACAGCTTGCTCCAGCATTATGCTAGTAAGATACTAGTTCAGTATTGTTTTGCAGGACAGAGAAAGCTGACTCACTCAAACCGCAGGACCACTGCGCCTTTGACCCAAGTTTTCATCCCCTTAGAGATCCTATTTGCTTTGCCAAGCCCAAATGTACTTCACAGATCCTCCCATGTGAAAGAACAGAGAAACACAAGTAACATGGTGCTGTGATCTTTATTCCATTAAATGACCTTAAAACTAAGAAACAGAAACAAGCTTTTAATATACTAATAGCATAATCTAATCCATTGCACTTTTTAAAAAGTATATTAAATTTTAAAGCCATTCAAAAAGGGTCTAGGAGAAAGAAAGTGCTTTGAACATTTTTTTTTGAAGAAAAAGAAATCAGAAAGGAAATTCTATATATGCTCAAAATTAATATTAACTCCTTTAAGGCTTAAGTCCATGATAGCATTTATTCATCAAAATTGGAAACTTTGGGAATCAAATGCCGCCTTCCCTTGGTCATAAAACACTACATTTAAATCTTAGTTCTGGCACCTGAAATGCCTTTCCCAGGAAGAAAAATTTCTTCTAAAATCTTTCTGCCCTTACATCTATCTTGAAAGTCCCTGGTAAGGGCTATTTTGTGGCTAATTTTCACAGTTATGATCTTCTCCTTCCTTTTTGTTCATTTTTACTTAGGCTTAACGTTTTCTGTGCATAAAAGATTTAGAGGTTCAAAGTCACAGTGCTGAACTTTGTTTTTTTTAAAGAAAAACAACTTTCAAAATAGTTTTTTTTTAATCCTAATTACACCCGGTAGTAAATAGGATACTTGTACATTATCTCTCAGAGAAGGCACTAGGACTTCCTAATTTAGAAAAACATTTTCACAGAGTTTAGGTAATCCTCTAGACTAAAGGCATCCTTATTACTCTGAACACTGTAAACTCTCAGTGATTGTATCTGGCAGTAGACCACCTATTCTGAACCTCAGGCAAAAGCCATCCACTTGCCTCCAGACAATACTGAATTGCACTTTCCCATCCCTCCAAGCAGTCTCTCTCGCTGTGGTCTCTGAACCACCTGTGATGCTGTTTTTAAAAGTGGTGATTCCAGGGCCACAACCCAGACCCAGACACACTGAGGCAATCCCTGGGTATAAAGCTGTGAATTTGAATTTCTTTAAATATGCCTCCCAGGGGTAAGTTTTATGCACTTCAAGGTAGAGGAGAACCACTATCCAAAACATAGGTACAACAGGACTTAACAGAAGGAAAACGATTCAAATGCAAAATGGTCTCTTACAAATGGGCTTTTGAATGTCATTTTAA